GACATAAACAACTTATCAATTTCAGAATATTAATGACAACTACTATTGACTTTAATCCATTGAATATTTTGGCCTGGATACTTTTTAACTGTTCAAATAAATATTTGTAAAGAATTAAAAATATCTAAGGGGCTGTTTGGTGTGATCCTGATTATTTATTCCATTTCAGTTGCTTTTATAGATGACTTCTTTTTATCTCATTATTTTAAGATAAAATTTCTGTAATGAACATTGTGCACTGCGGAAATTCCTAGGCTACTTGTTGTAGGGATAAAGTGTTATTAAATAATGTTTAGGTCTAAAGGCTTTTTTGAACCATAAATTAAAAAAAACCCCTGAAGTATTTACCCATACCTAAACTTTAAAGTTTAGTATTTTAAAATATGCATATTTATACATAGCAGCTTATTAACTTCTTCTGTTCAGTATATATTTGGGTGCCTTTGCTAGTGACATAAGTTGGGCCCCGTGCTAGAGAGAAAGTTTTGCCTCGTACCACAGAGCAGTATATACCACAGTGCACCAGTGATTATAATGCAAGAGGCTCTAGTGACTGGCATGGGACCTTCCTTGCCACTTGTTTTGCTATGTCGTGACAGTCAAGTGATAAGAAAAAGTAACAGTAAAGCAGAAACAGTGCTGTAGGCTGGAATTGCTGTGAGGAGTGGCATTAAGCTATGATTCTGAGAATTATTCCTTGTTCACATTTCCCCCTCACTTGCACTGATGCTCATATGAGACACACATTTCAGATTTGTATAGTTAAAATTAATTGCTGTACAGGAAAGTAAGCATTTCTATCACTTTTACATGGTTGTATGAGAGAAGGAATTAAATAGTAGTCTAATTTCTGCTTTTTATAATTATCATTATCACAAGCATTATCTTATGAAAGTTATGCTATATAGCTAAGCAGTCTGTATTTTAGTTTTCCAGTCTCTGTCCAAAGGTTATGGCTTCCCCTATAGGAAAGCATTATGACCTCCTTTGGTGAGAAGCACTGAAACATACTTCTTTACAGATTTTGTAGCAAGTTTAGTTTTCAGTGGTTCTACAGCCGGGGTCATTGCCTCACTGAGACATAACATTTACAGGTGGGCTCACAAGTCCCATGTCCAGTGTCTATTTAATATAGCATTTACTATAAGTAATACTTGGAAGTGCTTAAAAGCTGCTGGTCTAGAAGTGCAGTCACAACCAAAAGTTTGAGGCATGCTGTTGTATTCATTGGTTCTATTGTATTTGAATATTCCCCTGAAGGATTGTTCTTCAAAGGTGCTAGTTTTAGCTTTTTGGTGATGTATATATATATAAAAGGAAGTATAGGTTATTGTATTGCTTAATGAACACCGGATGTAAACCAAAGTTCAGAGGTGCACCATCCCTTTTTCTGTGGCCTAATTTAGGGAGTGCAACCACATTTGTATAATATATAACTTCATATCCTTCCTCTAAGGCAAAAATATCATTGGAAGCCATCTGTGTTATTGTCAGTAACTTCTTAAGATCAGAATATACACAATTTGTAATAGTAGCAGAAACTAAAAGAAAATTAAACCCTCATATTCACCCACTTTCAGATTTGATTTTTGGCTTTTGGTACATCTTCTTCTACCTGAAATAGCACTTTTCTAAATAATATTGATCTGCCTATGCAGAATGTAATTATCAGATACTTGGCAATTCTCGTTGTGCTTGGAGGTGTTAGAAGTCAACCTGTGCGGAGGATCAGGAGGCTGGGACTGTTTGCTAATCTTTATGCAAAGAAATAAGGGAAAGGCAACCTTGAGTCAGGCCACAGCGTATTCAAAGGCACCTCTTATGCCACCTCGTTGCTTTCCCCAGGACCCCAGAGATTCCTGATGTCCCTTCACCTTCTGCCTTTTCCCCACTGGATTTGGCCTTCTGTCTCTTCCCATCGCTAGCTGAAAACATGGCAAGAGTGAATTCATTTTCCATCTAAGCAGGCAAAGGAGACAACCAGAGGCTCGTGGTAGCAATATTTACCTCAGCAGCCTGGGATTATTTGCTTATTTGGTCTTTCCTGCTAAATTGCACTCTTCCTATCCTGGGCAGCAGCCTGGGCCCACTAGAATAGTAAGTTGTGCAGTTAATTCCTCTTGAGATCCATAAGCCACTTCACACCTCTCAGAGCAGCTGAAAATCAGACAAGCAGACACCTTTAAACTAATTACACTGAGTTTTTTCAAGCCTTCTTCAAGTCAGGGCAAGAATCTTGATTCAAAATGACTGGGGGTCTGTTCTCCCCATGTGGCATCACAGGCTGGAGGCTGAGATTGCATAATTGCATAAAACTTATCCGGTTTAATGCCTTCTCTTTATTTTCTTACATTTAATTCTCTTTAATTTCCATCCCTGCCCCCTGGATTAGTTGTGTGGGGCAGGCAGCTCTGGTGAAGTTTGACACTGACTTCTCTCTGCTCCCACCCGGACTGGGGCAAAGGGATCTGAGTGGATAGCAGCACTATTTGAGAACCACAGAAAAATTATCCTGCCTCAGGGAAGGAGGGGGGACAAACTTACGATGTTGAGTAAAGTCTGTATCTAATTTTGAGTTTTGAAGGCATTGCTGGACCATTTCTCTAAACGCTTTTGACAAAGAGAGCTTTTCTCAGCTTTGTAGAACACTCTTGTAAATGGCTGCGTGGCAGAAATTTGGTTTGGTAGGAAGAGCACTTGGATTGCCTGAAGATGGCTTTGGGATTGGAATTAAATGGGTTTAATAATTCTTCTTCTCCTTAATAAATGCTTTAATGTCTTGAGGTTTTGAGGAAAGCTAAATATGTATTTTACCAATGTTCAGCATTAATAATATTTATTCTAAAAATGCTTCCTCGAATGCCCATATCTTCTCGGTGTTATGTGTGAAATGAGAAACAGATCTGTTACTCTTAAATGGAAATTATAGACCTGTTTTTTTTCTATTTTATTTAGCATGGTAAACACTTGAGGTTTGTTTTTTTTTTCCTAAGTACAGTTATGCAGATGTCCACCTATTCGTAACCAGACACTTAGGACACTGTTTTGAAGCTAAGTTAGATTTCTGAAAATGTATTTTTGTATCTCCAGTTAGTTGTGATCGTGTTATGACTGCAGTTACTGGATACCAAGTTAAGATTTAGGTGGACATATAGAAGTAATTATCTAAATTGGATGAGAAATGTTTTACTTGAAGAAGTTGACGAACTTCAAGTCAAACAAGAGGAATAATACTCTGCAGTGTTCTCCGTTTGTTACATAGCAAGCATAAAGGAAGAGCTAATGATTTTAGTCCCTACAATGATGAAGAATCATAGAATAATGTATATTAAATTTTGTTCCTACTTCTTTGCAGGCCTGACAGCAGCAGCTGCAGCAGCAGCAGCTGCCACCAACGCTGCCATAGCAGAAGCAATGAAAGTGAAAAAAATTAAATTGGAAGCTATGTCCAACTACCATGCAAATAATAACCAGCATGGAGCAGACTCTGAAAATGGAGATCTGAATTCAAGTGTTGGTAAGTCTCAGACACAGCATTATTACATGTCCACAATGCTCTGCTATTTTAATAAAGTGGTGATCATTATGGACTTCCTTCTGAAGTCCTTGGTTTGGTGCAAAAAGTTACATATTTGTTTTCATTTTCTTACTGTTTTTAGTTTTATGTTGTATCTGACCTTTACACCAGTTTTCAGTGTTGTTGTTACTATTACAAAAACATTCTTTCCTTTGCAGGTTACGTTTGCAGACTCCAGTTAATATTTTCCATGAAAGAAAGTGGTTTGATTGCTTAGAGTTCATTTTTCAAAGTACAGGTGGGGTGACAGATGATGGTGTCAAAGTGAAATTTAACAATGTCTCCTGCTCAGTGTGCTGGGTATCGACTTTAGGTAATTCAGAACACAAGCTTGAAAGCAAAATATTTCATACTTTCATGTGCCCTGTGACAAAAGGAAAACATACATACACAATAAATTATTGCCATGCACTGCAGATCCTATCATATTTTATTTTAATAAACACATTCTTAAAATGTAGTTAACAGGTTTTTCCATTTCTTAAACAGCCATCAGGAGCTCTTGTTCTTTCTCAAAAAGGAATTGTTTCAGTATACTTTATTCATTTGTTTGGACAATTTGTTTTGCTAAAGCACACTTCAAAGCTAGAGTAACTTTTTGTTGTTGTTGTTGATTAAATCTTTAATCATCTGTGTGTGTCTGCTGTAAAATGTTTTGTTATGCCATTTCATTGTATTGGCTCCTTTTATCATGTTGAGACAGTATTAACTCAGCAACAGAAATTCAATGACAAAGAGGTAAGTTCAGAAGACTGCAGGCAAGATTGGTGTATATTGGAAAAAAAAGATAGGGATTTTTTGTTTGTTTTTATTTTGGCTCTTTTGTTTAGTTTTGTTTATTTTTTAGTTTTTCATCTCCTAAATACATTCGAAATTAGTCTTGGAGAGTTATGTACTAGCCTTAACATAAATAAATGTGTTTGTGAACAGCATTTCTGTACCCTTCAGTAGGCATTGGTAGGCTATTATTTAGAAATAATGTAAATTGCAGTTCAAAGAACCAGTTCACCTAGGCACACATTATTTTAAATTACAACAATATGTATGCATTACTGCATAAGGACACTACCAAATTTTTTGTTTTACTTTTAAAGAATGGCTTTAAAAATGCCTTTGTGTTGGCAAAGGAAATAGTCTTAAATTAGTTGTGTTAGTAGATACCAACATGTGCAGTCACTAGAATATTAGTGGAAAGATTGTCCTCTTGGAGAGAAGACAAGAGTGGGTAGAGAGCAGGTGTCTTTGAAATCTAGGAGGAGGAGATAGGTACAAATGAACTGGAAGGACCAGGTGGCCCCTAACATACTGGAAAAAAGTGGAGTAATGAGAAAGAATAAAAAATATAAATAGGAACAGAGAGGATAAAGAGTCTGTATTAGAACTAGAAGCTAGTTTAGATTTGGATTTCAGACTTACTTGAACACATTATGTGAAATAAAATGTTCAAATATAGTATTATGGAACTTTTATTCTGTTTGGCAGTTCTAGCAGTAAACCACCTGTATATCCATGGACATGGAAAAGTTAATAAGTAATCAATATGAAAACCCTGTGAAGTATTTGCAGGAGAGTGGATGGAGGGAATATCTGAATTTCCTCTGTATGAAAAAGAAAAAAAATCTATTTTGAAATCATTGTTTGAGGCATAATTTAGATAGGTAATCTACTCTTACACAGCTTAATCATTTTTCCTGTTTAAGAAAATATATTCTGGCTATTTCAGTATGGCAAAGTTAACGAAGCAAGATTATTTATTGTCATTGTCAAAATTTCCTCTCAGCCCCTTAACTTACTTGCTAACTTCAGTTAATTTCCCAGTTTAACTGAATGAAGAATTGTGTTCATTTTCAGGAAAAAAAAAAAGGGCTCTTCTGAGTCGAGTGAATAGCATTCCAGTGGTCTCCACTTCATAAGGAATATCTCTGGAAATACAGCGTGCTTGTCTCTGCATCCAGTCTTGAGCTATACTCTTCCTATAGAGGTTTTCTCAAAAATATTTTCTTTCCTTTATAGTGACCCCTATCTAGTGTCTAGTGATGGTTATGCATATGGAATCAGAGAAGTGATTCCTACTATTACCACTAATGGCAGGGTATTATTAGGTTCATTAAGAGTTAAGTCTCTATTTTTTAGTTGAATTTTTTAAAATTAGCACATTGTATTATCTGGACAAGAACTTGTATTTCAGAGGTGTTGCTTTGTAGTAGTTGTGCTGTTCTTTTCCCCCCCCTGTATTTTTTTCAGGTGTTTATTTATGTCCTTTCAAATAAATATTATCAACTCCATATATCATTAATGATTTAAATTATGGCATGTTAGGCATGAATCTGAAATATTACATTGCTGAATGTTGACAGGAAGAAGGAATAGAACAAAAGAAAATAAGCTGATTTCGGTTTCTATTTTAAATTATGTTATGTGCCCCTCCAAACTGGAAAGGAACAAACTAACCAATCAGGCTAAAATCTAAACTGTTACACCTTAGCCCATATGTAACAGGCGTTATGGTGTATCAGTCTAAATTGATTGATCATACCATGTTCTTTGGCTGTTCCAGTGCCTATGTAAAAGAAGATAAATAAGATATTGGTTCTTGAGTTGAATTGCCAGGTTTACTTCTGAATTGTCTTGCATTTTTATTTTAATCAGATGCTTAATGTGAATTATGGAAGTCATTTTTATAGATGAACATTGTATAATTATACAAAGCACTACACAAATTTATTAACTTGGTCCTTTGAAGCTATGGCCAAAAGGTTAGTGAATGAAGGGAGTTAAAGGAAGCCAATGATACCAATAAGTAATTATTTTATATCCCTCAGTTTTGTATAGTAACCTTGAGCTTGCATCCTCTCACCAGAATTACCATTTTAGAAGGGGAAAGAAAAGGGGAAAAAAAAAGAAATTACGGAGGAATCAGAGTGAGGTATTAGCACACTGAGTAAAATATATGGCTGCAACGCCTTTCTCCCCCATCCACAATCAATTGGATTCTTTTAGTTTAATATTTACTTGCTAAGATGAGATGCTAGTCTGCATGGTGATAAACAGTCTGCTACTGGCATCTGAAGGTGACCTGTCAGTTCATATGGACAAATCTCCTGCTTACTGAAATGTACAAAATAAATCATTAAAGCAGGCAGGTGCTCATTCCCAGATTTAAATCACCATAGATTTATGATTTGAATTAATGCTTCATTTGGTCATAGAAATAGATGCTGAGACAAATGATATGCAGTGGTTGGGGCTTCCATACTGTAGCCATCCTAATATTGATTACTGAGATGTCTTTGCAATCTCTTGTTTATATCAAGTACTGTCTTGTGACAGCTTGGCTGATATGAGCTACATTGCAGATAAGAAGGAAAAATGTCCTGGGTTCTTTTTAGTGGCAATTCTACATACAACATGCAGGATAGATAAATTATGGGGCTTTTGTTTAAAAAATGAATTCCGTGTGGCAGCAAACAAAAAAAGATTATGCTGTGTGTTGGGTTGATTTTTTTAAAATTTAATTGCAGAATTAAAAGACAGAGAGTGACAAGGTCAAACTTTAAATTTCATTGAAGAGGTTCTGCTCTTTGTCATATTAACAACTTAGGATGATATTAGGATCAGTTGTATATTTACCATCTAATACTCCGAAGTTATAGATAGATAGAGCAGCTCAATTATTTCCTTGCTGCTTAAGTGCTTACTGCCCTGCTATCATACTTCATTAACCTGCAGCAGCAAAAGATAGAAGCCTTTGAAAGTAAATATGTTTAAAGCTATTTCTGTGAGCTGGGCTTTGCTATCTATAACTTGGTAGGAAGTGAAGAACAGTACCTATACTTTTGCTTCCCGAACATTTTATATCATGAAAACACTATGCATCCACTTCAGGGAATACTCCAAGGATTTGTAAAGACCTTTGCCACTTGCTAAAATCTGACTCATAAAACTTGTAAACAACTATCAACAATAGTAAATTACTTGCTTAATAGGAAATGAGTTCATATCTATTCAAAATGTGATCTCAAAACAGATGTCCCGAGAAAATGTCATTGTTTAAATTACATTCATACCAAAAAAAAGCGCTATTATTTCTTTAAGGAAGTGAAGCAATCATGAAGACTTTGGTGTTCTCCGTTTCTAAACACAGTTAGGAAATACAAAGCAACATTTTACACTTGGCTAGCACATTAATCCATAAACAACCACAAAATGTGTTGAAAATTAAGAGGTTTTCTTGGCATGTTTCCTATTCATCCGCATTATCTTGCAATATTTAAAATTATGAGACAAACGCAAGGTTTCCTGTGATCTGTTGTTCAAAAGTAACGGTTGCTTACATACTATTATTCTTTTTTCTTCATCCAGAATCAGAGATAAAATGATTTAGGTGAAATTATTTTTCTCCAGTGACCTTGCCCAATAATAGAACAGTACAAAATGCAGTCATTTCCTTTTTCTAAACACACGTGTCTATTTTGAAGGAAAGAATTACTTTTATGGTTTCAGGAAAAAGTCTTGGAGACCTTGAAAAAGCAAATAAAAGGAAACAGAGAATGCAGGCCACTGAGCACAGCTCTGCAGTTGCACATCTGATTCTCTGCCTTGGCAATGTTAATGAACCTCAAATCCTCCCTATAATTAGATGAGGGAATTGCTTATATTTTCAAACAGATGATGCTGCTATAATGAAACGATTGACAGGGAACTTAAGAGTGTCTACAGTAGTCATTTGGTTTCCGGGTTTTGGGGTTTTTTTCTTTTTTTTTTTTTTCATTTTTTTTTTAAGTGTAAAAAGAAGATACAGGTCCTGGGAGAGGTAGCAATTTACACAGAATGCTATGACAGGTGTCTTTGTATAGCATGGAAATAAAATGGAAGAGAGAGGAATGATGGGCAGGTACGGCAATTTTTTGGGAGGGGGTGTCCTGTGCTTATTCTGCTTG